TAGCCAGGATGGTCTCCATCTCCTGACCTCGTGATCCGCCCACCTTGGCCTCCCAAAGTGCTGGGATTACAGGCATGAACCACCGCGCCTGGCCAAAAAAAAATTTTTTTTTGAAACAGGGTCTTGCTCTTTTGCCCAGGCTGGAGTACAGTGGTGCAATCTCTGCTCACCGCAGCTTCCCATCTCAGCCTCCCAAGTAGCTGGGACTACAGGCATGCACCACCATGCCCAGCTAAATTTGTTTGTTTTAGTGGAGATGAGGTCTTGCCATGCTGCCCACACTGGTCTCAAACTCCTGGGCTCAGGCGATCCTCCTGTCTCGGCCTCACGAAGTATTGGGATTACAGGCACGAGTCACTACACCTGGCCTGCACTAAATATCGGTACACATGTGGCTTAGCTTTTTCCCATTTTGGAGTATGTTCTCAGTGTTTGCTCCTGTGGGTTAGATGACTGGGTCAAATGATTTTTTTTTTTTTTTTTTTTTTTTACAGTGTGTCACTCTGTTGCCCAGGCTGGAGTGCACCTCTGCCTCCTGGGTTCAAGCGATTCTCCTGCCTCAGCCTCCTGAGTAGCTGGGACTACAGGCGCCCACCACCACACCTGGCTAATTTTTGTATTTTTGGTAGAGATGGAGTTTCAGCATGTTGGCCAGGCTGGTCTTGAACTCCTGACCTCAGGTGATCTGCCCATCTCTGCCTCCCAAAGTGCTGGGATTACAGGCGTGAGCCACTGTGCCTGGCTAAGAGGGATTTTTTTTTTTTTTTAACATGATCTGGGGCAGGTTTAGTCACAAAGGATGCTGGCCACTTAGACCTGAGTCAGCCATGCCAGAGCTGGGGGTTGGAACAGTTGTGGAAGAGACCGAGTCTGCACAACCTATAGGCTTGGCAAGCTGAGGCTGATCAGAGTTGGCGTCTGTGGGAATTAGGGAGGCTGCACTTCTTTGGCCACATTCCTGGGGCAGCAAGACTAATTCTGAACTCCATCTCCATTTGCTGGAGGGAGTATGCTCCTGATGTCCTCTCTTCCCCAGTCAGGGCTGCCTCAGAAGCTCCATGCTGAGGGTCTTTGGAGACCTCAACTTGCAGGAGCCAATGTTGCTCTGCCACTATATTGTCTCCCCAAAGGGTCTCCATGGCAACCTGTTGTTATCCAGCTCAAAATGAGAAGGTTCTCTCCCCTTTCGTTTCCACAGCTCTAATGTCTTGCTGGACCAAAATCTCACCCCCAAGCTTGCTCACCCAATGGCTCACCTGTGTCCTGTCAACAAAAGGTCAAAATACACCGTGATGAAGACTCACCTGTTCCAGGCGTCAGTTGCGTATCTGCCAGAGGATTTCATCCGGGTGGGGCAGCTGACGAAGCGAGTGGACATCTTCAGCTGTGGAATAGTAAGAGCGTCCTTCCCTGCTTATACTGGGGCCTGCCCTGATTTGTCCTTCCCACAGCTCCTTTGTAATCACAGGATACGGTAGAGGCACACAAACGGGTTCCATCAAAGTTCAGCAGGGGCTGTCAAACCGTGGCCCACAGGCCACTCTGGCCTGTGGCCTATTTTGTGTGGTCTGTGAGCTAAGAGTAGTTCTACATTTATAAAGGATTATATTTTTAAACCAAAGAATATGTGATAGAGACTGAACATGCCCCACAAAAGCTCACATATTTACTGTGTGGCCTGTTACAGAAGAAATTTGCCAGCCCTTGAAGGAAAACCGCTCATGAGTATCCAGGTTCTAGTAGGCTCCAGATATCCTCTCCTGACTTCCCTAATTCCCATCAGCCATCCACCTGTCCATCCAATTGTCTATTTGTCCTTATTTGTTCATCGCTGTCCGATCATCCATCCACTCTTTAGCTGCCCATCCATTCAGCGACCGTTGACCCACCCAGCATCCCATCCTGCCACCACCACCATCCTTGTCTGCCATTGTGTTGTGCCAGGCACTAGGAATATGAATGTAACGAAAACACAGCCCTCTCCTCAGCAGCTCATCGTGTAGCAGTCTACAGAGTATATTTCTGTAGAACTCCAATTCCTTTGGATCTCTAGGATTGGTGGGTTAAAAGGTTTATGCCTTGACAGGCTTGGAAATATTGCATTAGGCAAAGCCAAGCAGGTTTCTTTACCACAAGATTAATTCAAGCTGGTAGGATGGTAATGAGCCTTTAATCTGGGACTTGTGAATTCACCAGAGAGGGGTATGCAGTGTTTCCCAAGCTCATTTGACTGTGGAACCTTGTTTTCTCAGAATATCTGTCCTCATCTGTGTTCCATGGAACCCAGTCTGGGAAATGCTGCTGAGAAGAGTGACAGCCAGGTTGGCTTCAGCCAAGTGCCTACAGCTGCCCTGTGGGCCTCACCCTCTCTTCTTCTCTAGCCTTGAACTCTGTACTTCCTCTCTCTGACCACAGTCTCCTGTCTACCTCTGCCACTAGAACCGTGTCCCTGAGTCACCTCTGCCCTCAGCAAGAACCCCAGATTCTGTACCCCTGTGTCTCCCAGCAGGTTCCTCTGCCTCCCTCAGCCCCACTGTGAGTTGTTCAGTGAAGCTCAGCAGGGCTAGTCCAGGCTCCTGCTCCTTTAAGAACCAGGTGGATGGGCAGGGAGTGGTGGCATACGCCTGAAATCTCAGTACTTTGGGAGGCCGAGGTTGCAGTGAGCCGAGATCATACTATTGTACTCCAGGCTGGGCAAAACAGCAAGACTCTGTCTAAAAAAAAAAAAAAGAAAAGAACCGGGGGATGGAACCCCTAGGCCCAGCTCAGTTACTTTCAGCTGTGTGACCTACACCCAGCACCTCTGTCTCTGGGCCTCAGTTATGCTTTCTGTAAGATGGGGCTAACGATATACATGGAGACAAATGGGATAATATATGTAAGCAGGTGAGCATGGTAACTTGCACCCTGCACCTACCAAGAATATTATGATGACTGTGGTTATTGTTATTCCCATCTTTACACCCTCCTTCTGATATCTGTTTACTCTTGACCCTCTAACCGATGTGTTAGTGTCACAGGTGACTTCCTCATCCATCCATTCACTCTCCCACCCATCCACCCACGCACCCACCCTTGCACCCACTCACCCATCCACCTACCCACCTGTCCACCCATGTACCCACCCTCCCTCCTACCCTCCCACC